ATGTGCAGCACCTAGGTAAAGACCCATGTTCAACACCTAGGTTAAGATCCATGTGCAGCACCTAGGTAAAGATCCATGTGCAGCACCTAGGTAAAGACCCATGTGCAGCACCTAGGTAAAGACCCATGTGCAGCACCTAGGTAAAGATCCATGTGCAGCACCTAGGTAAAGATCCATGTGCAGCACCTAGGTAAAGATCCATGTGCAGCACCTAGATAAAGATCCATGTGCAGCACCTAGGTAAAGATCCATGTGCAGCACCTAGGTAAAGATCCATGTGCAGCACCTAGATAAAGATCCATGTGCAGCACCTAGGTAAAGATCCATGTGCAGCACCTAGGTAAAGATCCATGTGCAGCACCTAGGTAAAGATCCATGTGCAGCACCTAGGTAAAGATCCATGTGCAGCACCTAGGTAAAGATCCATGTGCAGCACCTAGGTAAAGACCCATGTACAGCACCTAGGTAAAGTCCCATGTGCAGCACCTAGGTAAAGATCCATGTGCAGCACCTAGGTAAAGATCCATGTGCAGCACCTAGGTAAAGACCCATGTGCAGCACCTAGGTAAAGACACATGTGCAGCACCTAGGTAAAGATCCATGTGCAGCACCTAGGTAAAGACCCATGTGCAGCACCTAGGTAAAGACCCATGTGCAGCACCTAGGTAAAGACCCCTGTGTAGCACCTAGGTAAAGACTCATGTGCAGCACCTAGGTAAAGATCCATGTGCAGCACCTAGGTAAAGACCCATGTACAACACCTAGGTAAAGATCCATGTACAACACCTAGGTAAAGACCCATGTGCAACACCTAGGTAAAGACCCATGTGCAGCACCTAGGTAAAGACCCATGTGCAGCACCTAGGTAAAGACCCATGTGCAGCACCTAGGTAAAGACCCATGTTCAACACCTAGGTAAAGACCCATGTACTACACCTAGGTAAAGCCCCATGTATAGCACTTAGGTAAAGACCCATGTGCAACACCTAGGTAAAGACCCATGTACAACACCTAGGTAAAGACCCATGTACAACACCTAGGTAAAGACCCATGTTCAACACCTAGGTTAAGATCCATTTGCAGCACCTAGGTAAAGATCCATGTGCAGCACCTAGGTAAAGACCCATGTGCAGCACCTAGGTAAAGACCCATGTGCAGCACCTAGGTAAAGACCCATGTGCAGCACCTAGGTAAAGACCCATGTGCAGCACCTAGGTAAAGACCCATGTGCAGCACCTAGGTAAAGACCCATGTGCAGCACCTAGGTAAAGACCCATGTGCAGCACCTAGGTAAAGACCCATGTGCAGCACCTAGGTAAAGATCCATGTGCAGCACCTAGGTAAAGACCCATGATGCAGCACCTAGGTAAAGACCCATGTGCAGCACCTAGGTAAAGATCCATGTGCAGCACCTAGGTAAAGATCCATGTGCAGCACCTAGGTAAAGACCCATGTGCAGCACCTAGGTAAAGACCCATGTGCAGCACCTAGGTAAAGATCCATGTGCAGCACCTAGGTAAAGACCCATGTTCAACAACTAGGTAAAGACCCATGTGCAACACCTAGGTAAAGACCCATGTACAACACCTAGGTAAAGACCCATGTGCAACACCTAGGTAAAGACCCATGTGCAACACCTAGGTAAAGACCCATGTGCAGCACCTAGGTAAAGACCCATGTACAACACCTAGGTAAAGACCCATGTACAACACCTAGGTAAAGACCCATGTGCAACACCTAGGTAAAGACCCATGTTCAACACCTAGGTAAAGACCCATGTACAACACCTAGGTAAAGACCCATGTTCAACACCTAGTTAAAGACCCATGTGCAGCACCTAGGTAAAGACCCATGTACAACACCTAGGTAAAGACCCATGTGCAACACTTAAGTGTCTTTATTGACGAAATAATTTCCATTCAATTTCACCATAACTTAATTAATACAAAATTATATATACATATGTTTAATATAATTCGTGTAAAATGAAAATACATGAAAAGAACAATTACATTTCAATCTTTAGAGTAATATATAAATCGTGTATGCTAGTATGTTATATAAAAAGTTCTAACAGTGTTTACAAACCTAAGTATTGGAAACTACATTACATTCAGCATTGTTTTGTTGGTCTTTGGTTGACTGCAAGTTAAATGTAAACTAACTAGAGAGAACATTTACATAAAACATAAGGATATTCATACACCAGTGACTAAAACACATCGTCTTACTTATGCTCTCCACAGTTGACAACAGGAGTGAGTACTTCTGGGATGACTACCTGCTAGCCCACCTGGTGAAGGGTTCCTGCCTGGCCTACATGAATTCCCCGCTACAAGCTGAAGAATGTTTCAAATTCATCGTCAATAATGAGAAGAAGATCAAAGAAGATACCTACCTCGTTCCCAATGCTCTTCTTGAGCTGGGTCTCATCTTGCTTCGAGCCAATGACCTGGAGCAGTCCCGCATTATCCTCGAACATGCCAAGTATGTATCCTGGTATTATCCTGGAACATATGAAGTATGTATCCTTCTTTAATAGTCACTTATTAGGAACATTCTGTGTATATGCTCAGCCTATTCTGTTAAATAAAATTGCATACATCAACAGTATGCTATGTGATATCTGGAGGATATCTAAAGGACGTTCCCAGGGGTCAACGCCCCCGCGGCTCGATCCCAAACCAGGGTTCCTCTTAGTTACACAGAATGTATATATTCCATCACACGGGATGGATTTACTTGTCGTATTCCATCACAAGATGGGTTTCCCTGTCATATTTCATCACACAAAATGGGTTTCTCTGTCATATTCCATCACAAGATGGGTTTCTCTGTCATATTCCATCACAAGATGGGTTCTCTGTCATATTCCAGCACATAGGATAGGTTTCCCTGTCAAATTCCATCACACAGGATGGGTTTCTTCAGTCATGTCATGAGATCTGTCAGCTTGAGTTGAGAGACTTCAGCAGAGCAGTGAAGATCCCGTGAAGAGTTCGTGATCCAAGGAATTACCAACAGTGACTGGTTCAGTGATATAGATTCACCAACAGTGACTAAATTCAGTGATACTGGCTTACCAACAGTGACTGATTTAGTGATACTAACTCACCAACAGTGATTCAGTGATGCAGGCTCACCAACAGTGACTGGTTCAGTGATATAAACTGACAGTGACATTGATATTGACTCACCAACTTTGACTCAGCGATAGATAGCGACTCACCAGTAGTGACTGATTCAATGATACATACTTACCATGGGCAGGGTATGACTTCCCTGGTCATCACGCCCTGCCCCGTATGCTGTGGGTATCCTAGTCTGACACTAGGGTTCAACTTAGCTGTCACTAGCTTCATCCCTCGACTGAGCGAAACGAGGCGAAGAGGAACATCTTACGACTCATATTTAGCTTTGAGTTGTTGAATGATACGTAAAGATGTATTCCAGGAGACTCTGCTTCAACTCAAGTGAGACAGTTCTCCTTAAGAGGCACGTAAGTACCCCTGTCTTCTAATAACATGCTCACTTTTCCACTGTAATCAACCTTCTCCATAATTACCATCGCATTTGCTTTGTCTCTTTCGTAAGGTGAAGTCTACGATCTGTCTGACTTTTTTGGGTTATCCTAGGTTCCCTACACATATGCTGCTATGTATGATAATTCTATGTAACTGTATTTGTGTTTACCTGAATAAACTTACTTACTTACTTACTTACTTCCTTACTTAACAGATCTTTGAGGACAGTTGTGTTGGAGAGGTCTGGGCAAAATTCAGACCTCTACAACACACTTGTCCACAAAGATTCGTTAAGTTATACCATGAATTATGGAAAGATCCCAGACGTCACCTTACGAAACAGACAAAGCAGATGCAATAGTAATTATGGACAAGGTAGATTATAGTGGAAAAATCAGCATGTCATTAGAAGACAGGGGTACATACGTGCCCCTTAACACCGACCATCTGAACTAGACGAGGTAGCGAGATGCGCCCTTCTCTATGGTGGATAACTGAGATACCTATGCTGCCTGTATCTCTGTCTCGCTTGGTTCATGCTGGCTCATGGCTCATGTTGGTGCTTGGTTCATGCTGGCTCATGGCTCATGTTGGTGCTTGGTTCATGATGGTGTTTGGTTCATGCTGGTTCATGGCTCATGCTGGTGTTTGGTTCATGCTGGTGTTTGGTTCATGCTGGTTTATGGTTCATGTTGGTGCTTGGTTCATGGTTCATGCTGGTGCTGGTTTATGTTGGTGTTTGGTTCATGGTTCATGCTGGTGATTGGTTCATGTTGGTATTTGGTTCATGCTGGCCCCTGGTTCATGCTGGTGATTGGTTCATGGTTCATGCTGGTTTATGTTTCACGTTGGTTCATGGTTCATGCTAGTGTTTGGTTTGTGCTGGTGTTTGGCTCATGCTGGTTCATGGTTCATCCTGGTGCTTGGTTCATGGTTCGTACTGGTTCATGGCTCATGCTGGTGCTTGATTCATGCTGGTGCTTGGCTCATGCTTGTGTTTGATTCGTGCTGGTGTTTGGTTCATGGCACGTGCTGGTGCTTGGTTCATGCTGGTGTTTGGTTCATGCTGTTTGGTTCATGCTGGTGTTTGGTTCATGCTGGTGTTTGGTTCATTCTGGCTCATGGTTCATGTTGGTGCTAGGTTCATGGTTTATACTGGTTCATGGTTCATGCTGGTGCTTGGTTCATGCTAGTATATGGTTCATGCTGATGTTTGGTTCATGCTGGTTCATGGTTCATGTTGGTTCATTGTTCATGCCGGTTCATGGTTCCCTTCTTCGCTTTCCTCCTCGTCTTTCAGATTCTTTCCTTTGTTTCTGAGTGTTTTTTTTGTTGTTGCCTCTACTTCCTTCCTTCATTTCTCTTCCCCTTTTCAACACTCAGTTCGCATGCACTTTTATATATATATATATATATATATATATATATATATATATACAAATCTTTGTTCGATGATTGACAGTTATCTTATTTCTGAAAGATTTTGAAACATTTCTCATCAACTACAAATGGTAAACATGCTATTTTAATGTTTTTCTTTCAGAAACAACTACAAGAGTTACCCCTTATCACTACGTTTTCTTTCAGAAACAACTACAAGAGTTACCCCTTATCACTACGTTTTCTTTCAGAAACAACTACAAGAGTTACTCTTTAGAATCCCGCCTCCACTTTCGAATCCACGCCACACTTAACAAGATCCACAGCATCCAGAAAGGTACGAGTCAGTCGGAGGGACTGACCCCTTGGACGCTTACCATCCATCAGTCGCTCACCCTCACCATGTGTCAGCAAGGCTTCCACTGCAACTTCCAACGGCACTGGAACCCATTTAAGTGAGCAGCAGTCTGTCGCCAACAATCTGTGATAAATCTGAGTCGTGTGCAATTTTATCCAGAGTGAATATTGTGAAATAGAGTGTGGTATATTTTCAGTGACGCATGCTGTAAAAACTGAATGCTAAGAATGCTTGCTACCTGTCTCACTATTTTTGTGGAAATTTCAAGTTAATAGCATTGAAGACAGCTTGCCAGCCTCTTCAGAAGCACGTAATGTGCTACATGTATGGCTACAAAGATTTTATTGTTAAAGTGTGTGTGTGTGTGTGTGTGTGTGTGCGTGTATATATATATATATATATATATATATATATATATATATAATAATATATATATATATGTCGTGCCGAATAAGTAAAACTGGTCAATTAGCAAGAACTCATTTAAAATTAAGTCCTTTCTAAAATTTTCTCTCATACGTTTAAAGATATATATTTTTCATTAATGTTAATGTAAAAAAAATTAATTTAGCACCAAAAGGAACTTAGAAAACTTACCTAACCTTATTATAACAAGAACAATTTATTTTAGCCTAACCCAACTAAATATATTTTAGATTTGTTTACAATTTAATACTAAACAAACACAGTGAAATATGTTTTTTTCTTTAGTTCAGAATGATTTTGGCGATATTATTGAATACACAAAATTTCGCTTGTCCTATATGGCAAGATGACGTGCATATAAGAAAAGATCGCAAGTTCTGCCATTCGGCACGCATATTTAAATTTATATATATAAATATTATAAAATATAAAAATTATTATATAAATTTTAAAATATATTATTTATAATATATATATATTTATATTATATATATAAATATATTTTATATATATAATATATAAAATATATATATTATAAATATATATATTTAATATTTTAAATATATATAAAAATATTAAATTTAATATATTTTTATAATTTAAAAGTTTAAAATTTGGGACTAATGACGTAGTAAATTATGAATCAGGGGGTCGTGAAAACCTGGGGTGTAGGTAGGAGGTGCCAAAAAAATCATCAGAATTTTTGTCGTCTTCGTAATTCTAATGTTTCCCAAATCTTCGTAATCTTCTTAAAGAAAATTTCCCTTTTTAATGCGCCGAACCTCGACTCTCTAAATATATTTTTTTCTGGACAGAACACATACGTAAATTTACTTTTGGCGATACTAAGGTGAACAGTACATAATAAATTTAATTTTTACTTCTCCCACTTCCCACTCGGCAAAAAGTGTTTTAATACCCACAACAACACAAAACCATTATGTGGTGTTAAAAACCCTTAACCCCATAAAAAAATTTTTATGGGGTCCTTTTTCCCACAAATTTCAGATACATGTCATACATTTTTATGCAGTTCCTTCAAAAGAGCTTTGTTATGTTGAATTTCCTTATCATTATTCACAATTAACAGGAATATTTATAAACTAAGTCCTTCCCTCCCCCCCTGTAAAGGGGGGTACTTGTAATGAGAGTACATGGGGAAAGAGTGTACAAGGGAACATGGGGAAAAACAGGGTAAAGGGGAGCCATGGGAAACACGTACATGGGAAAGACAGAGTACACGGCAGACAAAGACATGGGAAAAACGATTCAAGGGAGTACGTGTAAGACAAGGGAAAAAGGATACATGGGAAAGACACAGCACTGGGAAAAAATTACAAGGAAGTACAGGGAATTTCAAGGGGGTATATGGAGAAGGGGTACATGTGAAGTCAAGGCGTACATTGGAAAGACATACTGGGAAAAAATAAAGTAAAAAGATTACGCGGTCACGGGAAAAGAGTACATGTTAATACAAAGATACACTGAAAGAAGTGCTGGGTGTACGGGGGCGTGGAAGTTCACATCAAGGCTGTCTGCTGGGAGCAAATATCTTCTTCCTGGGTTAAGGATTATGAAAGATAGTAAAGTAAACTGAGGCCGGTTTTCTTACACTGCAGAACATGTAAACAGTAAAGAACACACACACACACACACACACACACACACACACACATGCGCTAAATACTGAGCGAAGAATTTTTTTTTTCTCTATGGTGTGGTGTTGATGATAGCAGTACAGGTCGAGTGAAACAAACATCTCATCTTGGAGACATGTACTATACACGTCAAGAACACAACATAGTACAACTCACTTAGCTAGCAGGCTCAAATCTAATATGCTGTATACTCTGCACTAACTGCCTGTTAATTGATCTATTAGGTTTCAAGTCTATCGGCTGATCGAGTCATTAAGACTGCCTATTGTCTGTGCTCCACCCGTCATCAATACTTTTAAAAACAAAAAATTGAGGTTAAAGTTATCTCCCCAGTATATATATATCAGTGTATATATCAGTGTATATACCCTGATGCAATTGTTAGGATCCCCCGTGTTTAAAAACACACCTTAGTCACTCCTCTATACCAAAGATCTTACAGCGTTTACTAGTTTTATAAGACTGTCTGAGAAAACAAATGGACGAAAAGCACAGTATTTTACAAGCATTACGAAGTGGAAAACTTTATACATTCCTGGAAAACTAGTTTATATGTTTAAGACTTGTGTTTCTTTATATGTGGTCAAGAGTGTACTGGATGTGTACAGTACACGAAGTTACTAGTTCATATACATGTGTGTGTGTGTGTGTGTGTGTGTGTGTGTGTGTGTGTGTGTGTGTGTGTGTGGTGTGTGTGTGTGTGCGCGTGTGCGCGCAATGGTGTCTATATACAGTACACACACACACACTTGTGAGCGCGTATATGGTGAGTTGATTGCCTTCAAGGATACATATACATGTAAATTACTTTTAATGTCAAATGTAACTGTAAATCAAAGTATAAATATTTATTAATCAACTACATGTCATAGTTTCCATAGGGGTGAAAAATTTTATTTTTGCAAGAACGTTCAAGTTATATAGATTTTTTTTCCCAAAATGATTGAGCCAACCTGATAGACAGTTGTGTCTTGTGTGGAAGATTTAAAATGTTGAGACCTCTTGAGGAGGGAATCAAGGCTTGTACATATTACACAGTGTAAGGGAAACCAGACTGTAAAAACAAGTTTTCTCATATTGGAACTCCCCTTTCGCTCTTTAGCATGACGTAATGAAAACTCACAACAGAGCGAAACGTTGGCCCATTTAAAATCTGGTTCTGTTATCAGTGTATGCTCTGCTGTTGTCTACTTGAGACCATGGGTAAATGGCTCACCCCCTATGTAAGAGCTTCAACCATGGGCAAGAGCTTCAATCATGGGTGAGCTTCAACCATGGGTGAGAGCTTCAAACCATGGGTGAGAGCCTTACCATAGGTGAGAGCCTTAACCATGGGTAAGAGTCTCAACCATGGGTAAAGCTTCAACCATGGGTTGAGCCCCTACCATTGGTGAGAGCTTCAAATTTTGAAATAAGACCCCCAATCGTGGGTAAGAGCCTCAATCATGGGAAAGAGCTTCAAACCATTTATAAGAGCTTCAACCAAATTTATAAAGCTTCAGTCATGGGTAAGAGCCTCAGCCCTGGGTAAAAAAACTTCAACCTTGGGTAAGAGCTTCAGCCATGGGTAAGAGCTTACAACCATTTATAAGAGCTTCAGTCATGGGTAAGAGCCTCAGCCATGGGTAAAAGCTTCAACCATGGGTAAGAGCTTCAACCATTTATAAGAGCTTCAACCATTTATAAGAGCTTCAGTCATGGGTAAGAGCCTCAGCCATGGGTAAAAGCTTCAACCATGGGTAAGAGCTTCAGACATGGGTAAGAGTTAAACCATGGGTAAGAGCTTCAACCGGGGGTGAGAACTTCAACCATGGGTAAGAGCTTCAACAAGGGGCAAGAGTTTCACCATGGTGAGAGCTTCAACCATGAGTGAGAGCCTTTAAACCATGGGGGGGAGCCTTAAACCATGGGTAAGAGTCTCATCCATGGGTAAACGAGAAACCGTGTCTTGGGGACATATTTTTTGGCCTGGAGAAATCTCTTCCATAACATTTCTGGTCTGGAAGACTACCTACCACATTCTTGGACGGTACCTCCTGCTCTAGAGAATAAGACATTCGTGCCTTCCATTTCCAGGCATTTTTTTCAATTAAAGGCGTCATATATTAAGATAAACGTGAAAGCGGAGCATCGCTTAATTTAAACTTTCAGGGGCCCCAGTGGAGCTGGTGATGCCAAATTTATCCTTTTCCCATAAACGAAAAACCTGCGCTAACAGGGCCTTAACAGACAGGGTTACGCGTCATGTTGCATGACTTAAGTCCAATTTACGACAAATTTATTCAGTTTTTACAGGCATGCCTTTTCTGTTCATGTGTTCTTTAGGCCTCAGAATAAACGAAAAACAAAAAAATACCATTCATAAACACTGAGAAAGGGCGCTATTTTCATACTAGTAAATATAATGAAGCTGTGTAAAATCAGTAAGAAGTATTCCCTTAAACACTCTGTCTCCTGTTCATTGGGAAACTCAACCCCCTATCCTGTAAGTAAATTGTAAATGTCTTTGTTTTTTAAGGTCCAGTTTCCCGGAAACTCAACTTAGTACAACTTTCAAAATCAAATTACTAGTTCAGGAACCTGGGTACTGGTTTACCCAAAAAATGCGTCTGGTTCGCGAACCCGTGTACTGGTTTACAAATTTGGATGTTAGTTTCATGAACCCGTGTACTGATTCAGAACCTAACTGTTTTTTCCAAACAGGGTAACCAGTCAGGAACCCATATACTGGTTTAGGAACTTTGGGACTGGTTCATATCCCGGTGTACTGGTTGGCAAACTTGGGAAATGGTTCATAAAACCCTTCACTTTTTTAAAAATTTTTTGGGTAACGGTTAGGTTTATGCTTTCTGACCCTGTATTTGACAAACCGTACTGTTCAAAAAACCCTTACTGTTTAAAACCTCTAAAAACCCGGTACGGGAAAAACGGGTAGTTTAAACTTTTTGTTTTGTCCAAAAACCCTTTGGGAATGGTATGAGGAGCTTTTGGAAACTTTGGATTTTCGGCCCCGGGGGGAGGTTTTATTGGGGGGGGGGGGCCCCCCAGGGAAAAACAAAAACCAATTTGAATTGTTTGTGTACTGTCAGCCCCAAAGTGTTGCCCCCACACATCGAAACCCACTAGACCTGAATCTGACCACACATTTGGGGGCTGCAGCCCCCCGTAAAAATATCGCTGAAAGTTTCTAATAATCTGCCACCTTGGCATTGTAAACGTCGATATGTTCACCGAAAGCCCGATTAAGTAAAATTTAACGTATTTAAGTATATCTGAAGGGAGTAGAGAGTACAGAACTAGACGACACTAGGGGGTTT